TGATTGCCATACAAGCTGAACACAAACTCGGCACACACACCTTAGACAGGAAGACGGTAGCCAACAGCCCTCCAAATCACTGGATGTTCAGCATGTTTCCTAACAAGCCAGACATTGTCGCCTATCAAGTGTGGGCACCAGAGGTACTGGCACCAGCTATGTCAACAGTGCCCAGGTGCCCCCACACCTGCACCTGGCAGAAACATGGACACAGAACCTGGCTGGGCCCCTGAGGCCACGTCTCTGGGGTTGTCATGGCCAGACTGCGTTTGAAAACCTCATGAGAAACCATGCTGCCCCTGGACCCAGAACGGGGCTGCCCACCTCAGACCCCCTATACTATCTGGCTCCCTCTTGTCCATGAAGCAAGAACAATGGCTTTAGAATGTTCTACGATTGCCAGAGGCCAAAACTCAGCAGGGCCATCTAATACCATGGCATCCGGGTGAAGACAGCCGGTGAAGGATCAGAGCAGGATGACCTCAGTCACCAGGCACAAAGGGTTCAACAGTGAGGCCCCGAAAAAGATGCTACATTGACTGGAAACTACTCTGCTTAAAGTAGGCAATTCCAGGCTGGGTGCAGGGGCTCACGCCCATAAACCCCACTACTTGGGAAGCTGAGGGAAGCCATGAGTTCAAGGGTGCAGTGAGCCAGGAATGTGGCACTGTACTCCAGCCCTCTCCATTTTTTCGGCTGTTGTTGGCCAGATGGGAGTGCAGTGGTGTGATCGTGGCTTACTGCAACCTCTGCCTCCAGGTTCAGGCAATCCCCTCACCTCAGCCTCCTGAGTAGCCAAGACCACAGGTGTGCACATCATCACGCCCAGCTAATTTTACTAGAGACAGGATTTTGCCATGTTGGTGAGGCTGGTCTTGCATTCCTGAGCTCAAGTGGCCTCCCAACGTGCTGAGATTACAGGTGTGAGCACCAGCCCAACCTTGTCTCTCTAAAAAGAAAAACAAAGGGCACCTCTGGTAAGTCAGCCTCTGTAACCTCCCCACAAGAAAACCATCTTAAATCAGTCACTAACCAAGCAAGCAATAGAGCTTTCACAGAAAATGAGACATGATCCAGGGCTGGACTGTCTTCCAAGAACACCCCAAACCCCCTGCCAGGAAGTCACAGCTGCCAAGCCCCATCCCAGGCACAGCTGTTCCTACGAAACACATCACGTGGAGACCCAGCATGACCGCTGATTTATTACAAGTCCCCAAGAGGGCTTCATTTTTTCTTTTCCACGTCCTGTTCTGCAGCTTCCTTGGCTCTTTTTGCTCGTATGCCAAAGAGCCGGGCATTGGCACGGGCCATGCGGAGACTAGCGAAGGCTTTGAAATTCTTCTCCTCCTCAGTGATGACTCGTGCTTTCTCCTTTTTATAGACCTACAAGAGAGGAACAGGGTGTTAAACACACAAGAATCACTGGGCAAGATCACAACCAGGCCTCGGCAGAGCCCAGGAGACAGCCTTGGGGGAGCAGGTATACTGCTCAGGCACTGCTGAAAAGCGACCCTGACATTGCTAAGGAATCACCTTCCCTAAGATTTAAAAAAAAAAAAAAAAAAAAAAAAAAAAAAAAAAAAAAAAAAAAAAAAAAAAAAAAAAAAAAAAAGAAAGAAATAACCCTCCCTGAGCCAGACATGGTGGCCCAGGCCTGTAAACCCAGAAATTCAAAAGCAACGCAAACAACACAGAGAAACTCTTTCAACTCTCCCAACGTAGGGCTTCGTGGGTGCAAACAATAAAGCCAGAAGGAAACGTTCCTTTCCACAAACCTCCACACGCTACAATTGCCACTGTTCTCTTTCTTAAGCCTGATCCCCGCCTCAAATTCACCCACTGATTTTGTCTAAAGCCTGGGCTGGAGCAGGCATCCACTTACATTCCGGATGGGCATGACTGGTCCTGTCAGCTGGGTGGCGAGCTTCAGTTCCTCAGCCTGTTGGGGAATGAGACAGTTCAGTAGGTTGATCCCCTCTGCCCCAAGGACGCCACACTCACCTAGCCTGTCACTTCCCCTCGGATCACGTGTTTGGGAACCAGAGTCAGCCTTCCCTGAAACACTCTGTGGTCCCAGTGTTGAGACAGTCACTATTAGATCGTGAAACAACTATCTTACTGAGCTGACACAGAGAATCAACTGCCTGTGAACCAGGGTCTGGGCTGAGAACTGCTCCCTAATTCAACTACCAGGAAGCCCATACAATGGGCTCTTATCAACTTTATCCTACAAGGTTTTCCTAGAAATAGTCTGGAGTACAACCATTTTAGGGAGAACAACGATGTCAATGGAAAAAGCTGGCTCCAAACCACACCGCCTTGCCATGACGACCGAGCAGAAGGCAGCACCCCAGCTTGGCAGTCCTGATTAGCTCACTGTCTACTCCTGCACGAGGCCATGTTTTGCTAACAGAACAGCCACAATGTTGTGACACCTCTCACCCCAGCTGGACACAGGGACGGGTGTCCCCGCCTGCCAGGACGGCCCGAACGCCCCGTACTCACAGAACTGTCGCCCTTCTGCGGGGCCGAGGGCTTCCTGGGGAACAGGATGAGTTTGGAGCGGTACTCCTTCAGCCGCTGCACGTTGGCCTGCAGGGACTCGGTGGACTTATTCCGCCTCCTCGGATCCACAGAAATGCCAATGGTCCGGGCGACCTTCTTGTGAATGCCGGCCACCTGCCGCAGAACCAGAGCGAGATGGAGACAGGCCCGGACTGTCTCCAGCCCCGAGGCGCGGATGAAAAGCCTCAGCGATCAGATGGAAAAGGGTTCAAATGTGCTTTCATCAAGGCCGTACAGCGATTCCGGAGAATGTCATCACGCCACTGAGGCCGGCAAAGCGGACTTCGGGCGCTCCCGACACCGCGCGTGGCCAGAACTCACCCTGAGCTCCTCCAGGCTGAAGCCGCGGCCGGCGCGCACCTTCGTGTGGTATCGAACCGTGGGGCAGCGCACGATGGGCCGGATGGGCCCCGACGCGGGGCGCGGGGCGATGCGGCGCGCCTTGGCTTGCCGGGCCTTGCGTCTGGCGGAGAGAACCCAGCGGGTCAGCCTCGCCCAGGGCCGTCGGGCAAGCGCCCCCCGCCCCGGCATCGCCCGCCCCCCACCCAAGGCGCGGCCGCCGGCACGAGCCCCAGGGGCAGCCGCGGGCGCAGGGCTCACCTACGGATCTTCCGGGCCGGCTGGTTGAACCACGTGGCCACGCGCCGCTGCCAGTCCTTGTGGAAGTGGGGCTTCAGGATCATGCCATTCCGGCTGGGCGCCATGGCTGCCTACGGCCCTGCGGCTGCGGATGAAATCGGAGGGAGTGAGGGACCGGGCTCCGGCTCGCGCACCCCCCAGGCCTCCGCCCCGCACCCTCCATCCTGGGCCGTCCGGCCGCGTTTAGAGCCCGGGACCCGGCCCCACGCGGTCTGTGAAGCAGAAGAGGCTCCTCCATGCCCGCGCTGCCGACAGCGCCAGGCCGATGGCCCTGGATGGAGCCCGGAGGCCGGGAACCAGCCTCACTAACCTCCGCGCAGGACAACAGCCGAGCGGAAAAGAAACGGCGCCGCAACGCACCCTGGGATGATAGCCGGGCGGAACAACCAGAAGCGCCGGGCGCTCTGACCAATCAGAGCCCGGGAAGGAGGAAGTGACGTCGCAGCGGCTCTCCCGGCAATTCTGGCCCCGCCCTTGCAAACATGGCGCCGCCCTGAGTGCGGCGGGGCGGGAACCCGGCAGGTAGAGGTTGCGATGAGCCGAGATCGCACCACTGCACTCCAGGCTAGGCAACAGAGCAAGACTCAAGTCCCAAAAAGAAAAAAAAAAAAAAAAAAAAAGGAATTTCGGCCGAGCGCGGTGGCTCACGCCTGTAATCCCTCAGAGGCCGACGCGGGCGGATTACGAGGTCAAGAGTTCGAGACCAGCCTGGCCAATATGGCGAAACCCCGTCTCTACTAAAAATGCAAAAATTAGCCGGGAGTGGTGGTGCGCGCCTTTAATCCCAGCTACTCGGAAAACTGAGACAGGAGAATCTCTTGAATCCGGGAGATGGAGGTTGCTGTGAGCCGAGATCACACCACTGCACTCCAGCCTGGGCAACAGAACGAGTCCGCCTCAAAAAAGAAAAAGTTTTTTTTCCACAAACCAGGCACGGTGGCTCATACCTGTAATCCCAGCAGTTTGGGAGGCCGAGGCGGGTGGATCACCTGAGGTCAGGAGTTCAAGACTAGCAGAGCCAAAATGGTGAAACCCCATGTCTACTAAAAACAAAAAATTGGCCAGGTGTGGTGGCGGGTGCCAGTTATCCCAACTACTCGGGAGGGGGAAGCGAGATCCTGCCACTGCACTGCAGCCTGGGCGACAGAGCAAGACTCTATCTCAAAAAAAAAAAAAAAAAAAAATAGCTGGGCATAGTGGTGTGTGCCTCTGATCCGTACTTGGGAGGCTGAGTCAGGGGGGTGACTTGAGCCCAGGAGATCAAGGCTGCAGTGAGCCGAGATGGCACCACTGCAGTCTAGCCTGGGTGACAGAGCAAGACTCTGTCAAAAAACAACACAACAACAACAAAAAAACATTACTGAGGACACCACTCTTGGGTATAGCAGCTAAAAACCTCCCAACTGCATGCTGGTCTTTGGTAATGGAGTTGGAGAACTGGGGCAAAGGTCAGAGTCTCTCTCAGAGATGCCCACCCTTGGGTGTGTGACAGCACCTGCACCTGCCTCCCTACAACTCAGCTGGCGTTTCTGGGGGGCATTCAGTGTTGCAGCAACACTAGGACAATCCATTCACGTCACTGCACCACAGGAGGCCAGAGTGTGAGCTGCATGCTCTGAACACAGGGCCAGGCCCACTGCTGGGTATCCGTCCTGGGTCATCCTCTCTTCCTACAGGGTCCAGGCCCCAGATTCCTACAGGAGTTTTCCACTTAGCCCCTACATTACTCAAATTGTAAACTGAAAACACAAGCCCACCAGCTCCTCTGTGTTACGGCTGGCCAGACAATGCACTTGTAGACTTTTCCATCCACAGAGTTTATTAGTGAAGTAACTCAACAATTCTCGTGGCAATAAAAACCAATGCATCCCAACACTGCATGACTAGACCAGCGAGAAGTCCTCAACCTGCACCTGTCCACACGGCAGCAGGTGGCAGTGCTGAGTCCTCTAGAGCCCAGTTTCTGGGCCTGTGTAGCTTCATTGATGAGTGAGCTCCATGACAGAGCCGCTGGAGTCAGGACAATCGGCTCAGAGGGTCCTTTCATGTCCGATCCCCTTAGCATTCCGAGGGAGCCACGGAAACTGAACGGCTGTGCAGACGTCAGCATGAACAGGGGTCTGTTCAGAGTCTGAATGCTGTGCGGTCTCTGGGTGGCCTCAGCCACACTGGGAAGGGCTGTGTCTGTAACCCTGGGAACTCGAGGTGTCCCATGCTCACTTGGGAAAGCACTAATAACCTTCCCCATGGGGGAAACAATGCACAAACACAAGGCTCATTCAGCTGTTTCGGAGAGAAATTTACAATCGTGAAAAGGGTAATCAATAAAGAGATCTCAGAAGCCGCTGTGCAGAGACTACTGAGGGCCCCAAGAGCAAGTGCAAAGCTCAGCTGAAAAGAAACGCAGGGTGGCTGAGTGAGCCGCTCACTTCTTGGATCACCTGCACGTGTGGCCAACACGTCCCAACTACTTTGGCCAAGATGGCTCTTTGCCTCAAAGTGGGGGCTGCTGGGCCTCTTCCGCCGCCTCCTCCTCTCCAGAGTCCTGCTTCTCCCTCTGGGCGTCGATCCACCTCTGTGGCGCGATCATTTTCTTAGGCCCATGGGGCGGTGGGCCAATGAGAGCCTCAATGTCCTCATAGTTTATCACTTCCTTTTCCAGAAGGGCATTTGCCAGCTAGAAAGAACAGGCAGAGCAGTGTGAGTCCCAGGACAGACACAGAGCAACTCTAAGTCTCGAGGAGGCGGCGGGAGGTGTGAGGGCCTGCCTGTGGGCAGGACACCCTGGACAGGCCACTTTCCCAGGGAAGCGGAGGCACGGAGGCAGCCCTGAAAGAACAATCACCCCCATCTCAGCCTCACAAATGATTTCCGGCGGCCAGCCTCATTAATTTTGCTACTTCCCTTCAAAATCTTGGCTTATTTTTGGCAACTGCAATTTCCTTCACCAAACAAGGTGTGTGTGTCTACAGGGAAGGGGATGGTTTGTAAAAGGCTGCACCCTCCTGACTGGAAACTGAGGACCGGGAAGAAGGAATCAGGTGGTGTGTGAGCTGGGACCTCACAATTTGGGGAAGGGAATTCCTGCCACTCCAGCTGGGATCCTGGAAAACACTGATACCGAGTGTCCTGTGCTAGCAGCCCTGCCTCTGCTGCGGCCTGGCCGACCACAGAAAACACTGCCACAGCCACATTTCCCTAGTTTCTGTCAAGGCAAAACTCTTCCAGATTTTCTTTCTTTTTTTTTTTTTTTAAACTGCCTGCTCCTTTCCTCACTCTTCCAAATTTTCTAAAGAAAACGGTAATTCCTAGGCCGGGCGCGGTGGCTCAAGCCTGTAATCCCAGCACTTTGGGAGGCCGAGGCGGGTGGATCACAAGGTCAAGAGATCGAGACCATCCTGGTCAACATGGTGAAACCCCGTCTCTACTAAAGCTACAAAAAATCAGCTGGGCATGGTGGTGCGTGCCTGTAATCCCAGCTACTCAGGAGGCTGAGGCAGGAGAATTGCCTGAACCCAGGAGGCGGAGGTTGCGGTGAGCCGAGATCGCGCCATTGCACTCCAGCCTGGGTAACAAGAGCGAAACTCCGTCTAAAAAAAAAAAAAAAAAACGGTAATTCCTGAAGCCACAGTGATTTACCTGCAGCTGTATTCCAGGAGACACACATTTCCTCTCCAGGGCTGCTCTGAGATTTTTACTAGGTTCTGCAACCCACTGAGTGTGTGAGTGGCTGGCGGTTCACACACAGGGCCGACACTCCACTCCACAGCCAGTGAGAGAGAAGCCAGAAGCCTCGCCTGGAGCTTTGCCCTTGCCCACTCTGGCTTCCCGTGTTGAGTCTTCGTTCTGCAAAGCTGCTTCGTCAGCCGTGACGTGCAGGTGACTCGCAAGAGACCCTGCCTGCAGGCAGGTGCTGCTTCAGAGGGAGATGGCACTACCCACACCTCCCCCAAGGTGCTGCTGCTGCTTGGGGATGTCACTCCAAGGGTCCCAAACACAGGATACCCATGTGACACAACCGTGCCTCACTTGAAAGAAACAAGGGGAGCTGAAGAAACAACTACCCTTCCCCTGCCTCCCCATCTGTTCACAACATGGGACAGAGAGCCAATTCACCTCTCCTGAGTTCTAAGCAGCAGTTACCAGGACCCAAATATAAAATTGTTTTTTGTATTTTTAGTAGAGATGGGGTTTCACCATGCTGGCCAGGATGGTCCCGAGCTCCTGACCTCGTGATCTACCCGCCTTGGCCTCCCAAAGTGCTGGGATTATAGGCGTGAGCCACTGCGCCCAGCCAAAACTTTATTTTAAAAAAAAGTTCAAGAAGAAAGTTTAAGAGCTGTAAAAAGATTAAACACAACTGACAAAATACTGATAACTGCTAATGCCAGGTAACAGGCACAGGAGATGCTGTGGCAGCTTCCTTCTACCTTGATGGAGCACCCGTGACGCGTTCATGATCAAAGTATGGAAAATCTAAGGTAGAATTCCCATTGCCCAGAGTGTTCTCTGCACTCTCGGACCACAGGGACTGTGAGGACTGTGAGGCGTGGCGGCCTCCCCGCTGGCTGGGGCCTCACCGCCTGCAGCTTGTCCAGGTTCTCCTGCAGCACCTTCTCGGTGTGTCTGTAGGCCTTGGCCACCAGCAGTCTTGCTTCCTGTGAGTGGAGGAAACTGTGTGAGGGGCAAGGCTGGCTGCTGGCTCCAGCACCAAAGCACAGAAAAGAAACGCAGGGCTGGAAAACATGGCCTTTCCCCTCCCAGGATGGCAGGACTCCTTGGCTAGCAGGTCTCCTGCCCCTGTGACCCCTGCCAGGAAAGCAGGGCCCCCCCCGCCTGCCCACCCACCACTCATACCCACAGCTGCCTCATAGGCACACAGCCGGCCCTTCCTGGCCCAGTCTGAAGGCCATGTGGGCCTGGCTCTATCGCTCAGTTCATTTGATATTCTTCCCAGATTCACGTCTATAATTTCATCAGGAGCATCTGTGTCCTCCACAGGTCAGAGCTACCGCAGAGCCCAGAAGGAAGAAAGCCACGTGGGGCCTGGAGCTGAGCTCAGCTGGGGCAGCCCTCATGTGGCAAACCCGGGGAACTCCCTTCCCGGGGGAGCACGTAGCACAGCGCGAGGCCCGAACAGACTCACATGATCCATCATCTGCTGCAGGCCTTGGCTGAAGGGGCGCCGCCCGATGTCCACGAGGCTCTCCTGTGCCTCAGGGAAGGAGATGGGCCCGATGCCAGGTGCCATCCCAAACTGCTTCACCATGGAGTAGGCAATGCGGGTGACCTTCCTCAGGTCATCCTGTGCCCCTGGAGGGTGGTCAAGACAGAGGGACCCTCAGCACTGCAGGCGCACAGCCACGCTGGCCCAGGCATCCTGGTCAGAACCCTGAGGCTGCACTGTGCCTTCCCATCCATTTCCTCCCAAGGAATCCCACCATGAAGCTGGACAGCATGGACGTTGGCACCTTGCCACTGTTCCTTAAGAGAGCCTTAAAACTTTCAAAAATGCTCTTCGTTTAGAAATCTAGAACGGGGGGTGCATCAGAGCTCACTGCAAGGCAGTTCTCAAGCACAAGCCTGACCTATGTAAGGCAAACCTGAGGACCCGGAGCCCAGGGGTCCCAGGGCCCTCCTTCAGCTTGGCACATCCCAGTGAAGTAACAGCTTGAGAACAGTCAAGCTGCATCAATTTCATTCCATTTCCTGTAGACATTACCAATAATTAACCAATTAAATGCCTTTAAAGTCAGCATCTACGTTAAGTTTTTGTCCAATTAAATTGTCTTAAAAACTCTTGCTTGGTTCCAAATCTCCCATGAACATAACTTAGTTTTTAAAAAATACTTAATAAAACTCAAAACTATGCCTACACCAGATTCGCCCCATCGCATGCACTGGAACAGAAGGGAGATTGCTGTGGAAACACTCTGAAACCCCAGGCCCACAGGGCTGCTCCGCTCCTCACCGGAAGTGACCCTGTTGAAGGTCAGTGCTTCTGACGCCCGGCCCCCAAGGGCCATGCACATTCGCTCAAACAGCTGCTCCTTGGTGAAGAGGTGCTGGTCTCTGGGGAGCATCTGAGCAAAGCCCAGGGCAGCATTTGTCCGAGGCGCTATGGAGACCTGCACAAGGTCAAGATGGCCAGGTCAGCAGGCAGGATGTGGGCTTTGAGGAGGAAGGTGTGGGAGAGGCTAAGAGGACCCCGTCGACCGAGCGTCTCAGAGCAGGAAGGCAAATCTGCACCATTTACAACAAAGGACCCTAACGCTACCTACGGCCAGCCCAGAGACAGCAGGGTTCCCAACTACAGAAGCCTGTTCACAGTCGGGGAGTGTCTTGCTCATGTACGACCAGGTGCCAGGCCCTGGGAAGACAGCTGAGAGGCCAAGGACAAGTCACGCCTCTGATGGCCGCTGCGCTGACCCCTCACCAAGGGTCCAGTAGCTATGGGATGCCAGGGAGCAGCGACTGTCCCAACCTCTGCTCCTCCCCACACCCCCACAGCAGGTGTGCAAGGAAGTCGGCTTGGGGCCAACGCACTAACCCAACGAGAAGGAACTGCTGTGTGGGAGACGGAGGGAGACGGGGCAGGGGCAGGTCCTCTGCTGGCTCAGCTGCTGTTTCTGAGAATTGTGGCAGCAAGACGACCACATCTAAGTGCTCTGAGAATCCCAAGAGGAAGCTTACTTTAAAATCTAACACTAGGCTGGGCGTGGTAGCTCACACCTGTGATCTCAGTACTTTGGGAGGTAGAGGCTGGTGGATTGCTTGAGCCCAGGAATTCGAGACTAGCCTGGGCAACATAACAAGACCCCTTCTAAGGCCGGGCGCGGTGGCTCAAGCCTGTAATCCCAGCACTTTGGGAGGCCGAGGCGGGTGGATCACGAGGTCAAGAGATCGAGACCATCCTGGTCAACATGGTGAAACCCCGTCTCTACTAAAAATACAAAACATTAGCTGGGCATGGTGGTGCGTGCCTGTAATCCCAGCTACTCAGGAGGCTGAGGCAGGAGAATTGCCTGAACCCAGGAGGCGGAGGTTGCGGTGAGCCGAGATCGCGCCATTGCACTCCAGCCTGGGTAACATGAGTGAAACTCCGTCTCAAAAAAAAAAAAAAAAAAAAAACAAGACCCCTTCTCTACAAAAAATACAAAAATTACCTGAGCATGGTGGTGCATGCCTGTAATCCCAGCTACTCAGGAGGCTGAGGTGGGAGCATCACTTGAGCCCAGAAGGCTGAGGCTGCACTGAGCTGTGATCGTACCAATGGACTCCAGTCTGGGAGACAAAGAGAAAGACCCCATCTCAAAAACAAAAAGGCGGCTCTGAATAACTGTCGCAGTGATGATCCCATTAATCACCAAAACCGTTAACAGTCAATTCACAACCTTTCCCTGGCAGGACACTGAGCCTTGGGAAGGAGGCTGACTTTTTCATTGTGACTACCTAACTTTTGCCCATCAAATAAAGTAAAAATTCTTTTCCCTTTGAGACAGTTTTACTCTGTCATCCAGGCTGGAGTGTGTAACGTGGTCCTGGCTTACTGCAGCCTCTCCCGGCTGGGTTCAAGCAATTCTTGTGCCTTTGCCTCTTAAATAGCTGGGATTACAGGTACCCACCATCACGCCTAGCTAATTTTTTTTTTTTTTTTTTTTTGAGGCGGGGTTTTGCTCTTGTTACCCAGGCTGGAGTGCAATGGCGCGACCTCGGCTCACCGCAACCTCCGCCTCCTGGGTTCAGGCAATTCTCCTGCCTCAGCCTCCTAAGTAGCCGGGATTACAGGCACGCGCCACCATGCCCAGCTAATTTTTTGTATTTTTAGTAGAGACGGGGTTTCACCATGTTGACCAGGATGGTCTCGATCTCTTGACCTCGTGATCCACCCGCCTCGGCCTCCCAAAGTGCTGGGATTACAGGCTTGAGCCACCGCGCCCGGCACCTAGCTAATTTTTTAAATTTTTGGTAGAGATGGGGTTTCACCATGTTGGCCAGGCTGGTCTTGAACTCCTGACCTCAAGTGATCCACCCGCCTCGGCCTCCCAAAGCCCCTGCATTAATTTGACTTGTTGAGATACTGTGTTAAAATGTTATGTTTATTGCTGGGTTTTTCAGTGTGCCACAAATGGGCCCCATAACTGCAGTGACACACGCCTGGTCCCCAAACGCTGGCCCAGCCCTGCTGGGAGCCTGGCATAGGCAGGATACTCTCAGATTAACACCCTGCTTTGCTATAACTCACACCTGAGAAACAGTAACAGGGACCAGCACTGATTAACCAAGCTGGCCAGCTGTTACATGGTGTGCATTTTTTGCAGCGAGCCCTGAGGTCTGGCCAGCTGCTACACGGTGTGCATTTTTTGCAGCGAGCACTGAGGTTGGAGCACAGCACTGCTGCCTTCTCAGGTGAGCCTCCAGCCTGCACCGGCTCCCTGGCTCCACTGTAAAGACAGCACCTGTGTTCTGGACAGCCACCTCCTCTTGGCAGCACTCAGGCAGGTCTTAGGGAAGCTGGCTGTTAATGTCAACATCTGATAAGAATAAACTTCCATTGAGTTCACAGCTGCCTACAAGAGTAGTTTTTTTTTTGTTTGTTTTTTTTAAATAGTAGAGACAGGGTTTGACCATGTTAGCCAAGCTGGTCTCAAACTCCTGACCTCGTGATCCACCCACCTCGGCCTCCCAAGGTACTGGGATTACAGGAGTGAGCCACTGCGCCCGGCCTAGAGTAGTATTTTATTTTATTTTATTTTATTTTGGGACGGAGTTTCGCTCTTGTTACCCAGGCTGGAGTGCAATGGCGCGATCTCGGCTCACCGCAACCTCCGCCTTCTGGGTTCAGGCAATTCTCCTGCCCCAGCCTCCTGAGTCGCTGGGATTACAGGCACGCGCCACCATGCCCAGCTAATTTTTTGTATTTTTAGTAGAGACGGGGTTTCACCATGTTGACCAGGATGGTCTCGATCTCTTGACCTCGTGATCCACCCGCCTCGGCCTCCCAAAGTGCTGGGATTACAGGCTTGAGCCACCGCACCCGGCTTAGAGTAGTATTTTTAAATGTACGCTTAACTCACTTCTTTCACAAGTTAGAAGTCACTTTGGAGTGGACAGGCTAAGGACAGGCAAAGGCAGTGAACCCTCACTGCAAGGAGTGACCTTCCTGGAGTCACCCCAGGAGCAGCACCACGCTCCGACGGGAGAGGCTACTCCTGCCTCCCATGTCCGAGTTTCGACCCATCACCTGGGACAGTCACCTCCCACTGTGCTTCCTGCTCCCTGGATCATGACAGTGGCAGGCTTTTTCACATGACCTACAGACACAGGCGGGATGTCCCAGTCAGCGATGCCCAAGGCCCACATGCTGAGACCCACCTTCATCACGGCCTCCGTGTGCTCCAGCATCCAGCCCACCAAGGCATGGCCCGACTCATGAAACGCGACCACTTTCTGTTCTTCCTTAGACAGGATCTTGCTCTTTTTGGCAGTCCCTGAAAAAATGCCAGGGTGTGAGCTGAGGTCCTGGCCCTCTCCCTGGCCGGGTCCTGCTCCTGCCCCGTGGAGTCAAAGCAAGTCCCTCTCTGCACGTCTGCCTCCTGTAGCTCTGCCCCAAACTTCACTGCAGTCATTGCTTTGGACGCCCCAACTCAAAAGGATGCTCTTTAGGCGAAAACTGTTGAAGGAGGCTGCGATTTTTCTTCTACAAATGTTGCCATCATCAAAATTGCTGCTGCTGCTTTTAGGAGCAAGCACAACTCTCCTGAAGAGACTCTCCTCCTGCCCCAGGGTTGGGGGACCCAGAGGGCCAGGGCAGCGGTCACAGACAGCAGCTTCTGACTTTCTCCCTGGCAGGATGGGCAGAAGTCTCCTCCGAGTTACGAGCCTCCTGCTTGCTTTCCCTTTCCCTTCAGACCTGGTGGGGCAGCTCTTGCCCATTACTTATGGCTCCTTACTGCTCTCGCTCATCCCTTCGGTGGCCTTTTGCCTCAGGGACAAGGCTTTTTAAGAGACAGAGTTGTTGCTGTCTCTTAAAAAAAAAAAAAAAAAAAAAGGCTAGAGTGCAATGGTACAATCATGGCTCACTGTCACTTGAACCTCCTGGGTTCCAGCAATCCTCTCGCCCCAGCCTCCTGCGTAGCTGGGACCAGAGGTGTGTTTCGCCACCATGCCTGGCTAATATTCTTTTTTTTTTTTTTTTTTAACAGATGGGGTCTTGGGTCTTGTTATGTTGCTCAGGCTGGTCTCGAACTCCTGGCCTCAAGCAATCCTCCTGCCTCGGCCCCCAAAGTGCAGGGATTACAGGCCAGCCAGGGACAAATGTTTGCATTATATTTCCCCTGGTTAGCTCACGGCCCTGAGCACTCAGTACACCATGCTACTGGGACCTTCCACCACCACTTTACTGTAAGGCTTTAAATGCTGAGACACACTGGCTGTGGCCGATGAGTTACTTCAACCGCAGCTGGATACAGGACTATGCACAAAGCCACAAGACCACAGGGCTTGTAAGACAGGCTTTACCTGAAAAATCAACATTTCTAGTAAGGGTGAGTGCAAGCAGGCTGACACCAGAAGGGGAAGAGCTCAGTCCAACGGACAGCACAGCCAAGCCTGCAGCCTGGGCACCAGGACACCATGCCCAGGTGCCCATGCTGGCTGCCAGAGATGAGCACTTAGAGGCGTCTCTCTCGCCAGGAGCCTGGGCTCTCACACTCCCTGCACTTCCTTTCATAAGCCCATTCAGGCATTTGCCCGTGAACCTGCGCTGACCACTCCCCATTCCCTGTGCATACGGCTCATTGCCACATGCCCTCTTCTCTCTGCCCGAACCTTCACTTCTGCCTGTGAGATCTGGAGACGGACGATGGCCGTCCCCACTCCTGGCGCCCTCCCAGCCCAGGATGTGTGAGTACTAAGTCTTTGAACATGTTTCCCATTGTGGTGGGGACTGAATTTGTACCTTCCACAAGAAGAACCAAGTGCTGCCCAGGCTGGGTTTTCTCGGAGACGCGGGGGACACAGGGCAGGCTCCCAGCACCAGAGTGACGGTCAGGCAGGTATAACCTGGACGCGAATCAGGCAACAGCCGCAGGGCGTCTGCCAGTGTGAGCAAGTTTCCTGGAGGGACTCCTGGACTCACATGGACATTAGGCTGCTCCCCGGGTCAGAGACGCATCCCACCACCACACACAGCGCCTTCATCTCCCTGAATGCAGGACTGCTGGCCACCAGGCACTGGACCCCAGTTTAGCTGGGGGCTCTCAAGACTCAGGCTGTCCACACTAAAGATGAATGCAGAGCACTCGCTCAATGCATCACACACGTGAGGTGGTGTCCTTTCAATATTTTCGTTTCTCCTCCTGGAATCAGGGTGTTGCCCAGGCAGAAGTGCAGTGGTGTGATCACAGCTCACGGGAGCCTCAACCTCCTGGGCTGAAGACATCCTCCTGTCTTGGCCTCCTGAAGTGCGGACATTACCGTCCTGAGCCACCGCGTCCTCGCTGGCCTGTAGTTCCCACTCACTCCTTTCTGCTTTGATACTATTATCCAAAGCTTATCAATTTCCATATAAAAGTAAATGGTGACACAAAAACACACTTCAGTAAGACACAGTCAGTGCCTGCCAGCCCTCCTGACTCGCGGGGCTCTCAGGGAGAAGCCACGGTGTGTTTTGTACAATGTCTGGCACAGCAGCTGCCCCCACTCCCGTCGTCTTCAGGGATCCACCGCTTTCCCAAGCTGCAGCCCTGGAGGCTGATGAGAGGCGTGTTTGTGCCAGGGATTCACTCACACTGAGGGTGAGGGACCTTGGTTCTCTCAGGGACAGCTCCCCAGGGCGGTTCGTGCTCCTTAAACACCTGTGGCAAGAACCACCTCCCTTTTCAAATGTTCAATCTGTCTCAGTGACGGTGTGCGTCTGAACCATTCAATGAGAAGATGACTGACTGAGCACATCTGGGTGTCACCACCACAGCCACGGAAACCTCTGGCACCTCTGATTCCCAGTGTGGTCCTGCTCTCCTCAGACTCGGCACTGAGCAGCCACGGAATAGCACTGTCAGAGGCAGCCAGTTCACCAGTCACCCCACACCAAAACTCGTCTCCTGTTCCTACTGACAGCCGGGGCCATGTTTTCGCCAGAGTCATGCTGCAATCCACACCTCTCCTCAGGGCCCAACTGCGGAAGGCAGAGACAGCCCTCCAGGGCGGTGGGCAGCAGCGGCCCTCCGGTCCACAGTCAGCGCAGGTTCACAGGCAAATGCCTGCATGGTCTGATTAACGGAAGTGAGCCTGCCACACCCAGGCCGGCAAGGCATTTTTACTTTTTTGTGTTTATATTTTTATTATTTATTTATTTATTTATTTATGAAATGAAGTCTTGCTCTGTTGCCCAGGTAGAGTGCAGTGGCACTATCTCGGCTCACCGCAACCTCCGCCTCCTGGGTTCAAGCCATTTTCCTGCCTCAGCCTCCTGAGTAGCTGGGAATACTGGCGCCCGCCACCACGACCAGCTAGTTTTGTATTTTTAGTAGAGATGGGGTTTTGCCATGTTGGTTAGGCTGGTCTCAAACTCCTGACCTCAAGTGATCCACCCGCCTCAGCCTCCCAAAGGGTTAGGATTACAGGCGTTTGCCACCACACCCGGCTTTTTTTTTTTTTTTGAGACAGAGTCTTGCTCTGTTGCCAAAGTTGGAATGCAATGGAGTAACCTCAGCTCACTGAAACCTCCGCCTCCCAGGTTCAAGCAATTCTCCTGCCTCAGCCTCCTGAGCAGGTAGGATTACAGGCATGCACCACCACATCCAGCTAATTTTTGTATCTTTAGTAGAGACGGGGTTTCACCATATTGGTCAGGCTGGTCTCAAACTCCTGACCCTGTGATCCGCCCACCTTGGCCTCCCAAAGGCGTGAGCCACCACGCCCAGCCCCAGTTATTTTTTATATTATTATTTTTATTTTTCTTGGGGGCATTTTATTTTATTATGTTTTCTTTGTATTTTCTTTAGCAAGGCATTTTTATATTTCTGTCAGACGAGTCTGTCTACTCTTAGGTAAATCTGTGATATTTTAAACTAAGGAACACTATGTCATATAGGAAGACATCAGCTTCATGTCTTCACAGAACCGAAACGCAACATGTTTCCTTCCCATGTGATGGTTCCCTGCTGTTGAATAACAGGAGGCCCAGGCCCAGGTCTGGCCCCATCCGCCTCACCTCTAAATACCTGCCTGGTTATTTCTGGGGTTCAAGCCCTGTTAAGAACAGCATTCCCCAAGGGCGCGCCCCTCTTACCTGCAAGGACGCGCTCCACGGCGTACTCAAAGCTGACCGTGTGCACGGACGTGTGTCCCTCTCGAGCCGCGTGCAGCGCAGCCTCATTGCAGATGTTGGCGATGTCAGCCCCTGTCAACACAAACAGCAGCCAGGCACTGGGGGGTGGGCAGGCATTGAGGGGGCGAGGTTCTGCTCTATCACAGCTTAAGAGGAGTAAGGGGCCCTCAAGGAAGAACAAAGCAGCGGGGTGCGGTGCTGACACATGCCATCCCAGCACTTTGGGAGGCCGAGGCGGGGGGATCCCCTGAGGTCAGGTGTTTGAGACCAGCCTGTGCAACATGGTGAAACACTGTCTCTGCTAAATGTACAAAAACTAGCTGGGCGTAGTGGCACATGCCTGTAATCCCAGCTACTCGGGAGCCCAAGGCAGTAGAATCGCTAAACCCGCAATGAGGAAGCTGCAGTGAGCCGAGATTGCGCCACTGCACTCCAGCCTAGGCGACAGAGTAGGACTCTGTCTCAAAAAAAAAAAAAAAGGAAGAACAAAGAGGGAAAGAGACCAAGAGTGCTGGTGAGAATGTGTGGGAGAGACAAGGCCTGGGGGAGCTGGTGCCAGGGGCAGAGGTGGAGAGAGCGGCAGGCACTCGGACCACATTCTACTGAGGACAGGCACCCGGACCACGTTCTACTGAGGAGACACACAGCTGCCCCGGTCCATCCGCCTGACACCCATCTCTCATCCCAAGTGCAGCTCCACACACCATCTTGTGACTGACTCCGATTAAAGGCTCTCTAGTATCCACAGCATTTCAGTGAAAGGCGTTAAAAAAGCATCAAAAAGGAAGTTCATGTCATAATAGACGGGAGTTTTGTTTACATTAACTTTTAAAATGAAAGCCCAAAAAAAAACCATCTTGATGTATGATTTTAAAAAAAATTTTAAGGCCGGGCGCGGTGGCTTAAGCCTGTAATCCCAGCACTTTGGGAGGCCGAGGCGGGTGGATCATGAGGTCAAGAGATCGAGACCATCCTGGTCAACATGGTGAAACCCCGTCTCTACTAAAAATACAAAAAATTAGCTGGGCATGGTGGTGCGTGCCTATAATCCCAGCTACTCAGGAGGCTGAGGCAGGAGAATTGCCTGAACCCAGGAGGCGGAAGTTGCGGTGAGCCGAGATCGCGCCATTGCGCTCCAGCCTCGGTAATAAGAGTAAAACTCCGTCTCAAAAAAAAAAAAAAAAAAAAAAAAAAAAAAAAAAAATATTATTAGTTTTTTAGACACGGAGTTTCACAATGTTGGCCAGGATAGTCTTGAACTCATGACCGCAGGTGATACACTCGCCTTGGCCTCCCAAAGTGCTGGGATTACAGGCATGCGCCACCGTGCCTGGCAATATATGATTTCTATTTCTACGACTTGACAGAGACTGTGAGGGTCAGAGGCAGGAGGTTTGCGGGCACCACCTGGTGCAGGGCGGTAAGACACCCGGTCAGATGGGGAAGTGCCCTGGATGATGGCTCACTGTGTGGACGAAAACATGAGTCTCACTATTCCTGGAGTCAACATAGACCCAGAACCCCCATCTGGTTTCTCACCCTTGGGGCGGAGGAAAGAGTGCAGGTGCTGTCCGGACCTCCTGCTGCCCCACACACATATCGGCTCCCACCAGGCTCGTACCAAGCAGGGGCCCCAGAGAAGGGGCAGCACCTACCCTAGAGGAGGCCCCGATGCCGTGTGTGCAGGTACCACCACCTGCTCTCGACACATGACACTGCCCCGGCTGCGGGTTGAGAACCTACCACTGAATCCTGGTGTCAGCTCTGCCAGACGCTGGGAGTAAAAGGTGCTGGCCTGGGTCAGCTTCAGGCTCTTCAGGTGCTGCTCGAAAATCTCCCGCCTCTCCTGCCAGAACCAGGGGAGGACAGACCGTGGGGCTCACACCCAGCTATTGCTGCAGGCGCGGCATGTATGTCTGTGGGGAGAGGCGGGGTGTCCCCGATGCATCCGCCCTGAGGACAAGCCCCACTTGGGAGGCCTGCGGGAACTGCTAGTTTTTAAATCAATGTTCTTTACCATCAGTCACCACCCATGCGGCTTGTGAGCTGCAAGCAGAATTTTTTTTTCTTTTTTGAGACAGGGCATCGCTCCATCACCCAGGCTGGAGAGCAGCAACATACATGGTCTCAGCTCACTGAAACCTCGGCCTCCTGGGTTCAAGCCATTCTCCTGACTCAGCCTCCCAAGTAGCTGGCATTACAGACGGATGTGCCATCATGCCTGCCTAAGTTTTGTATTTTCAGTAGAGACGGGGTTTTGCCAAGTTGGCCAGGCTAGTCTCAAACTCCTGGCTTCAAGTGTGAGGGTGCCTCAGCCTCCCAAAGTTGTGGAATTACAGGTGTGAGCCACCACACCCGGCCATGAGCAGCATTTTATTTCTCATTTTTTTTTTGAGACAAGTGTTTCGCTCTTGTTGCCCAGGTTGGAGTGCAAAGGTGCGATCTCGGCTCACGGCAACCTCCACCTCCTGGGTTCAAGCAATTCTCTTGACTCAGCCTCTCAAGTAGCTGGGATTATAGGCAAGTGTCACCACACCCAGCTGATTTTGCATTTTTAGTAGAGATCGGGTTTCTCCATGTTGGTCAGGTTGGTCTTGAACTCCCAACCTCAGGTGATCCACCTGCCTCAGTCTCCCAAAATGCTGGGATTACAGGCATGAACCACCACACCCGGCCAGGAGCAGCAATTTAAACATAAACAGAACACTCTTGGATGGCCGGGCCTGGTGGCTCACGCCTGTAATCCTAGTACTTTGGAAGGCCAAGGTGGGCAGATCACCTGAGGTCAGGAGTTCAAGATCAGCCTAGCCAATATGGTGAAACCCCATCTTTACTAAAATACAAAAATTAGTTGGGCATGATGGCAGGTGCCTATAATCCCAGCTACTTGCAAGGATCAGACAGGAGAATTACTTAAAGCTGGGAGATGTGGAGAGTGCCTGCCGTTCTCTCCAGGGTGGTTTCACTGAGCCAAGATCACATCACTGCACTCCAGCCTGGGCGGCTGAGGGGGGGGTGGGGGGCGGGGAACAAAAAACCTAGCCAGACATGGTGGCACACGGCCGTGGTAGTCCCAGCTACTCAGCTTGAGCCCTGAAGGTCAAGGCTACAGTGAGTGATGATCGCAGCATTGCACTCCAGCTTGGGTTGCAGCGTGACACCCTTTCTCTAAAAATTAAAAGAAAAAAACTCTAGTGGAATAGCTAAGGAAGCACGCCACACACACCAAAAGCTTATTCTGCAAAACTTCTAATTCCCACATGTTAAATGCATCGAAATCCTGATGTAAAATGTTTCTTACACAGTCAAGAAACACAGGAGCTGCCCTCCCCTGGAGAAGCAGTGTCCCAGGGGGAAAGGTCTCTGCTCCGCCCCTCCACTCTCCATCCCAACTCTGGAAGGGTCTCCAATCCCCCCTGCACCCTCCATCCCAACGGAGGCCGAGCACCTGCTGAGGCGTCATGGCAGCGGCCTGTGTGCACCCAGCCCTGCCCCCACCAGCTGACCATGAAGCCAACTCTCCAAACCCTCCCCTCCATGGGTGGAACTCCTGCTCCCTCAGGCCACAACCAAGGCCCTTTGGCCAAGAGGAGTAATGTCCAACCAGAGCCCTGTAAGAGGGGAGGGATTGGGCGAGAGGCCTCATGACTTCTACGTCTAACCCCACTTCAGGCCAGCTGCACAGTCCATGTCCCCAGAGTCCACTCTCCAGATGGAAGGGAGTGAAGCCATTCAAGAATCAAGCTTCCCACTATTTTTCCCCCTGGATTTTGTTTGAAAGGATTTGCTATAAAACCCAGACTGATACTCAGTATAAAAGAGAGCCAACAGCTGGTAAAGACAACTGCAAAACCAAGAGCAGTGGGTGCAGGAGGAGGACGGGTATGCCAGGGCATGTACGGCCCACGTGGGGCATGCTGGGCAGCACCAGCACCTGTAGGGCTGTGGCAGGCTTCACACCAAGATGCAGCTTAACGGAGAGGCCAGATCACTCAGGACCAGAGTAAGGGCGGCCCAGGCGGAGTGGGAGAGGCTGGGGTCCTGGCTCTGACCTGCAGCGTGGGAAGATCAATGAAGACGTGCCGGTCCAGTCGGCCTGGCCTCATCAGAGCACCGTCCAAAATGTCGGCTCGGTTCGTGGACGCCAGGACGATAACATGGTCTGTGGTTCCCATTCCTGAGGGGACAGAGAAGACAGTAACCCTGAGGGTGGGGGTCCTGAAACAACAGATTTCCCCTGCAGATTCTCCTTCAGGATACAGGAGTGGGAGAGACATCTCCCACCCCAAGGCCCAGCAAGAAAGTAACAGCCCCATCCTTCTTAACTGGGAGCTGAGCTATGATCCTTCCCTCATCACTCCCAGCCAGTATCACCAGAAAGAATAGGAATTTGCTTATTTGACAAGTGAAAACAGCAATGCCTTCCCTGGGGCTGGCTACTGAGGCAGAAGGGTCCAAGGACAGCACCCTGCAGGGTCTCACAGTCTCACGTTGGTCCTCACAGCCCTACCCACCTTGGGCCCTGTCACTGTTATTGTGACCTTGTAACATCTTTAATGGCTTGATTTAGGCTATGACTTGAAAAATTTTAACACCTGGCCCTGGGTTTCAGGCTTGAGGGTTCTCATCAGAGAATTTAAAAGTGGGGCCAGCCACGTGTGGTGGCTCATGCCTACAATCCCAGCACTTTCCGAGACTGAGGTGGGCCAATCACGAGGTCAAGAGATCAAGACCATCCTGGCCAACATGGTGAAACCCCGTCTCTACTAAAAATGCAAAAATTTGCTGGGCATGGTGGTGTGTGCCTGTAGTCCCAGCTACTTGGGAGGCTGAGGCAGGGGAATCACTTGAACCCAGGAGGCGGAGATTGCAGTGAGCCGAGACTGCACCACTGCACTCCAGGCTAGTGAGAGAGAGAAAAACTCCATCTCAAAAAAAAAATAAAAATGAGTCCAGAAACAATCACTGACCCCTGGTGTATGTGAAGCTTGACTGGCCCCTGATGTGAAAAAATCAACTGCAAAATGAGATTTATGAAGCTGCAGGGAACACGTGAATGGATGCCCATAAGAATTTTCAGGTGTTACTATGATGCTGTGATATTTCTCTGAATCTAAAAAAATATACTCAGAGCTCATAAGATTCCAAACTCTGAGTCTGCTTTAAAGGAATCCACTGACGGCCGGGTGCGGTGGCTCACACCTGTAATCCCAGCACTTTGGGAGGCCAAGGTGGGCAGATCACCTGAGGTCATGAGTTTGAAACCAGCCTGGCCAACATGGTGAAACCCTGTCTCCACTAAAAACAAAAAATTAGCCAGCCGTGGTGAAGGGCCCCTGCAGTCCCAGCAACTTGGAAGGCTGAGGCAGGAGAATCGCTTGATACTGGGGGGCAGAGAATGTGGTGAGCGACTCTGGCAAGGGTGCAAGCAGAACTCAGTGGAGAGAAGACAGCGCTAGAGAGCAGTGGGGCTGGGGCGCTCTTCCACAGGCAGAAACTGAGCCTGACCAACCTCCCACTTCACACAAAAGCTGGTTTGTAATGAGATCACGGATTAGCACAGCTCCTAGGGCAGGGTGTGCTCGATACACTCACTGCCACAGTAAGGACAGAGGTAGGTGTGTTCCAGGGTCACACTGGGACCAGGACCCCGGCTTCCCAGGGCCTCATTCAGTGCTTAGACATGGCGAGTTCACACGCTGGAGATGAAACACCCCGTGGCAACCACCACCATGCACACATGGCTGATGACTTGACTTCTCCCAGACTGAAAACACAAGAGCCTGGCAGCTGAGACAGGATAAGAGCTTCGGCCTGGGAGGTGGAGGCTGCAGTGAGCTGCGATGGTGGCACCGCACTCCAGCCTGGGCAATGGAACGAGACCCTGTCTCTGAAGAAAAAAAAATGCTGAAGCATGGCATTTTCACAGCAGCCTTTTCTGTGTGTGGCTGCATGTCAGGGGCCGCCATCTTGGCTTCCACCATCTGGGGATGCCCATGTCTTAAGGGAGGCCTGTGTGCACTGCTGGGCGTCCGCGGCTCCGGCGTGCAGTCAGAGCTCCTGCTCCCCATCACTTCTTCTTAGCACAGGAGCCGGGACCTGGACGTCCGTTGCTGGAGCAGCCTCCAATGCTGACTTAGGCCCTTCCCAAGGGGGTCTGGGGTCTGTAGGACACCACCGTGGCCTGGCTGGCGTGACCAACAAGGCGGGTGAGTTCCTTTTCCTCGGTGTTTCTCCCACGACTGGCGCAGCATACACCCATTCTGTGCATGTCAATGAACAGAAACTACTCTTCCCTGCAGAAGCAGCAAAGCCTGGCCTGGGACCTCAGCAGGGCTGCGCATGCACAGCTGCAGTTCTGCATAAAGGGACTTGTTTAGTGCTGGCACGACTCAACAAGAGGCCTTCAGTCAGCGATTCCCAGGCCTCAGCAAACCCGGGGACGGAAGCAGCTATTCTTACAGTAGCATAGAGAGGTTCCGTGGAAAAGGCTGATGGATAAATGCTTGCCGGTAGGCTCAAGTCACCCGAAAAGGTGGCCTCTGTCTTCACTGCGAAAAGCACCCCAAGCCGAGTGAACAGCGTCCGTGGCCCTATGGGCTCCATGAGACAGGAGCAGGTGGGGCCTCTTCTCAGAGCTTTCTCATGGTCCCCTGGGAGGGCGCCTGGTCAACACAGGGAAGGCCACAGACTCACAGGACGAAGGCCTCACAGTCCATGCCACGCAGCCAGCATGGTCCAGCCACCGGAACCCAAGGTGTGCTGTAGATTTCCTCAAAACCCAAAACCACCACCCAACCGTGAGCAGCCTCCAGAAGCAATGGTCAGAGCCACACTGAAGGCCACACAGCACCAAACAGGCCACATAAAGATGCTCCACAGAGACGCAGTACAACAAGCCTGGGGATCCAGAGGCCTCTGAAATGCACGGTAATCTCTGCTTGAGGCGCAGGGCCAGCTTCCCCAGCAGAGGCAGTGGGGTCCCTTGAGGACCCATTTCTGAGGAGGTGTCTCCTCAGTGATACCTCAGACATCGCAGAATCTGAACGACTCACCCCACGTCTCTGAAGACACTCTGTTCTCTGAAAACTCTATTCCCAGGACCACTTGCCCTGTGTGCAGAAGGCGGCCGTACAGGTCTCAGTTGTTCATGCATTAGCTCCTGAACTAGCGTGTTGACAGACGATGGGATGAGGTAGGGGGACAAGCAGCAGGAGAGACGTGAAGCGTTCTCTGCAAACACCTTCACGCCGCTGTGTCCTACAGTCAGGAATCTCGCTTTGATCGTTTACCCTCGGAGCTCGCAGAGCCTACGAAGCACTTGTGTGGCCATCAGTCCATTTGACTTCACGGCAGCCCAGAGGCAGATGGGAGCACAGGGCACCCAGAATAGACATGAGACAGCACGAGGCCAAAGCCCTCAGCAGAGTCCACCAGCTACAGGCATGGCGACACTGCAAACTGCAAGGCGCACCACAGCACTGCTGCACCGGTCCAGCCAAATGCACTGCTCGACCTGACACTGAGGATATGTCACAGCTCTAGAGAGGATATTCCTTAACGTCACTGGCCTGTACAAAGTGTCACAGCCACCAAAGACAAAGACCGAGAAACACTGGAGCCCACCTGTAATCCCAGCTTCTCGGGAGGCTGCGGCAGGAGGCTTTCTTGAGCCAAGGAGTTCAAGACCAACCTGTGCCCAAAGCAAGACCCTGCCTCAAGAAAAAAAAAAAAAAAAAAAAACAAGACCAAGAAATGACACAGGATGGGAGGAAATAAAGGAGACCGAACATCCACGTCGGGGGTCGGAGGCGCCTGGGTGGGTCTGCGGGGCAGTCGCAGACACCATGGCTGGGGGTTGGAAGCACCTGTGGCTGGGTCTGTGGACACCGTGGCCTGGAGCAGCAGACCATGTACACCACAGTCAGCCTTCGAGGCGCCTGTAGGAAGGCATGAAGGAATACTCTGACTACAGTGCCGATGTTTCTGTAAGTCTAAAATTACTTCACAATGAAAGGTGAAAAAAGTTCCACCCTCAGCTAAGTGCCATCCAAACTGGACTGTGCAGGTGCCGGCTAACACACAACTCCAGGCAGGAGGCCACGGGCAATAAAGAAAACGGCAAGTGAATGGCTCGCCTGCAGCCAGAACACGAGGGGAAAAACGTCTCCTCATCTACAACACCCAAAATGCAACTCGAATTCTGTTTAAAATTAAAAATAAATCTTACAAAGCAGAGACTTGAAAACATGCTTGTAGCCCTGTAAACACAGCCTGATTCACAGCAGCCCACAGGTCCATGGATGGGCAAATAAACAGATGCGGCCCTACACACAGTGCAGTATGGTTCAGCCTCAAAGAGGAAGGAGATCCCGATCTGCAGCCAGCGCAGAGGGCCCCGAAGACGCTCTGCTCCGTGAAAGAAGATGGGTAGCAAAGCATAAACACTGTGGGTCTCCAGCTCCATAAGGTCCTAGAAGAGTCGAACTCAGAGACAGACACAGGCTGCAAGAGGCTGGGGTGGGAGAATGGAGAGGACTCAAAGGGGACAAATGTTCTGTTTGGACTGAAGACAAAGTTTTGGAGGTGGATGGTGGTGATGGTGCTCAGCAATGGGAAGGTACTTAATGCCGATAAACTTCAGAATGATCAAAATGGCCAATTTATGTTAATGTATTTTTAAAATTGCTTCTAGAGACAAGGTCTCGCTGCATCACCCATGCTGCAGTGGCAGTTCACGGGAAGAACATGGCACAGCACAGCCCCTAACTTAGGCTTCAGCACTCCTTCTACCTCAGCCTCCCAAACAGCCGGGAACACAGGCATGGACACCAAGCCTGGCTATCTGGACATTTTACCACAACAATATCCACCCCCCAAAAAAAAACCTTGCAAAAGTATCTCAGAAGAAAAACAATTTCATGTCACTTTTATTGGGTCAGCTCCATTAAAAAGAAAAACGTTGTCAAAGCCAGGCCAGAAGTCAAGGAGTCACACAAGAGGTGTGCCTCCCAGGCCGCAGCACACTGAGGCTCTGCTCATCACCCTCACCAGTGTCACACCCTCCCCACGTGGCACAGAGAGAGACATGGCCACACAATCAGACAGACTCATTTGAACCTGGAGATGGAGGCTTCGGTGAGCTGAGACTGCGCCACCATACTCCAGCCTGGCGACAGACTCAAAAAAAAAAACAAACTACTAAATAAAAAATAAATTAAATAGGGCTGGGCACAGTGGCTCACACCTGTAATCCCAGCACTACAGGGTGGGTGAAGCCCTGTCTCTACTAAAATACAAAAAATGAGCCAGGCATTGGGATGCGTGCCTGTAGTCCTAGCTACTCGGGAGGCTGAGGCAGGGGAATCGCTTGAACCCAGGAGGCAACGAATGCAGTGAGCTGAGATCGCACCACTGCATTCCCCATTGGCAACAGACCAAGACTCCATCCCCAAAAAAAATAATAATACAAAAATTAGCTGGGCGTAGTGGCAAGCACCTGTAATCCCAGCTACTTGGGAGGCTGAGGCAGAAGAACTGCTTGAACCCGGGACTCAGAGGCTGCAGTGAGCCGAAATCGCACCACTGCACTCCAGCCTGAGTGACACAGCAAGACTGTATCTCAAAAAATAAATAAATAAAAAATTACATCCGACAAACCACTTATAATCCCAGTTTTCTTTTACACTATTGCCTTGACCTTGTTTTTTTGTTTTGTTTTGTTTTGTTTTGAGACGGAGTTTCGCTCTTGTTACCCAGGCTGGAGTGCAATGGCGCGATCTTGGCTCACCGCAACCTCCGCCTCCTGGGTTCAGGCAATTCTCCTGCCTCAACCTCCTGAGTAGCTGGGATTACAGGCATGCGCCACCAAGCCCAGCTAATTTTTTGTATTTTTAGTAGAGACGGGGTTTCACCATGATGACCAGGATGGTCTCAATCTCTTGGCCTTGTGATCCACCCGCCTCGGCCTCCCAAAGTGCTGGGATTACAGGAGTGAGCCACTGCGCCCGGCCAAACCTTGTTTTTTAAAAATTAAAATCTGTGTTTCTTTCTTTCTTATTTTTTTTGAGATGGGGTGTCCCTCTGTCACCCAGGCTGGAGTGCAATGGTGTGATCTCAGCCCACTGTAAACTCCACCTCCTGGGTTCAAACAATTCTCTTGCCTCAGCCTCCTGGGTAGCTGGGACTACAGGCATGTGTCAACACTGCCAGCTGATTTTTGTATTTTTGGTAGAGACAAGGTTTCACCAAGTTGCCAGGCTGGTCATGAACTCCTGACATCATGTGATCCACCAGCCGCAGCCTCCCAAGGTGCTGGGATTACAGGCGTGAGCCGCCGCGGCTGTGTTTGCTGACCACAGCACAGTGATGACAGTTCTTCCACCAACTGCTCTCTAGTTGTGAACTGCTGGATAGTGTGTGCTCTCATATGATCCTCACCTGCAGCAAGCAGGGGCACAGGGGCAGCAGACACTAGGGACTCAAGACAAATCACGTCTCATAAGCACTAGTTTAAGATGCTGAAACAATAAATGTAAACAGCTTCATCTACCCAGAAAATGACTGTCCCGAAAACATCAGAAACCTTCTCTCATGGTGCAATGGGGGCGCGGGGCGCACGGGCACTGACCGTCCATTTCCACCAGAAGCTGGTTGAGCGTCTGCTCCTCCTCGGTGTTGGAGAAGCCGGACATGGTGGTGGAGCGCTTCTTGCCCACCGCGTCGATCTCATCGATGTAGACGATGCAGGGAGCCCGGGCTCGGGCCTCCTTGAAGAGGCTCCGCACACGGGCAGCACCAAGGCCTGAGGGGACAGAGAGAACCAGGAAACGGGCAGATAAAAAACAAAGCCTCTTCCTGTGCCTGGGCCAGACAAAGGTGTCCCCCAAAGACGAATAAACCTACCAGCCTCATCCCTCCAAAGAGACACACAGTGGCTGCTCCCGGGGGGCCCTTGGCAGCCCCTCAAGGCTCACACGCACCGTGCTGGCTTGCAGGCCACAAGTGAGACCGGCTTCAAAGCAGACATCATGTGCTCCGCAGACACAACACCTCCTCTAACCCAGGCCTCGCTTTCCCTCTCTACTCCCCGCCCACCTGTCCCCTTCAGTCTAGCTGCCCGAGGAAGGAGGTGTGAAAGGAACCACGTGGTCAGCAAAGGCCATCCACAGCCCCCAGCCACAACACCTACCTCCAATGACCTCCACGAACTCCGGGCCAGCCATTGCCAAGAACGGCACCTGGGCCTCTGTGGCTACCGCCTTGGCCAGCAGGGTCTTCCCACAGCCAGGGGGGCCGAGCAGCAGCGCACCCTTTGGGACCTTGGCGCCAAGCTGGAGGAAGCGCTCTGGGCTCTGGACAGCAGTAGACAACGTGACACTGGTGATTTGCGGTTTCAGATTTTCTTTTTTTAAAGGTAACGTCTCCCGACATCGCCCAGGCTGGAATACGGTGACTGCCATGATAGCTCACTGCAGCCTCAAACTCCTGGGCTCAAGGCATCCTCTCACCTCAGCCTCCTGAGTAGCTGAGACTATACAGGCATGTGCCACCACGCCTGGCTACTTTTAAAAATTTTTTGCAGGCCGGGCGCGGTGGCTCAAGCCTGTAATCCCAGCACTTTGGGAGGC